ATATCGAAGTTGAAGTTGCGGCTGGCCTTCCTTGGACGGAGAAGGAAGCTCACTTACTGATCAGGGAGGTCTGACAGAGAAGTCCATTTAATACGAAAATACATTTAATACGCCCACGGAATGGAACCTTCTCTCGGCGGCCGGCTATATTAAAAAAAAGTAACTCGTTAAAAACTCTTCCCCACCGCAGTGGGGCCTGCACAGGAGGCTAATCAAAATCAAATCAAATCAACTTTATTGCTCAACAACTGTAGCTGGTACAATGTATGGCAAAGAAACAACAATGGTACATAGATCAACTAATACTAAGATATAATTCTAACTAGCTAGTCCATAATGATACTAAAGCTAATCTATTGTGTTTTCTTAGGAAGAGTATTATTACATTCTGTAATTCAGGAGATATATCAGCTATTTACAATCTGGTGTCGCTTTTGTAGTGATTCGAATATGAATTTTCCAACGTACACTGATATCTGAGTAGGACATGAAAGGAGAGTATTAAAGATATCTGATTTTGAGTGAGGTAGCGTAACATTAGTTTTGGAAGCTATGGATTGCATCAATTTTTGTCTGTTTTCTTCATATGTTGGACATGACATCATAAAGTGGAATTCGTCTTCAATACCCTCCTTGCATGTCGGGCACAATCTCTGATCGGCTGGTGTGTTATAATGACGGCCCTTTTCGATTTCCAGGCCATGTGAACTTATCCTCATTTTAGTTATGCTTGTCGTAAAAGATTCGTTTCGAATTGATGATAGATACTTTTCCAAGCCAAAATGTTTTTTAATTTTAGAATAAGTATGAAGTTTATTGAATTTTCTTATTTCCTGCCACCAGCCAACTAGAAATGTATCCTGTAAACGTTGCTTGAATAAGCTTCCAAACTGGTTGGCATTAACCCTTGGGTTTAGCCAGACATTTTGGAAGCCGTGTCTGCACAGTAAGTCCTGTATGTGGACTGTCCAGTCATGGTCTAGTTCGACAGCAGCATCATATGCCTTCTTTACAATTCTGTCATTAGATAAATTGGTTAGCCTAAGCCAGTATTTGATCATTTGTGTCTGAGCATCAATGTACAGTGGTAAGGTTCCTAGCTCCCCCCTTATAGCGGAATTGACAGAGCTCTTTGGAACATGGAGAAGTATTTTGTAGAAATTTAACAGAACATACTCTAGGTCAGGAATTTCATAACATATCGTTGGTTGTTCTAATGTTATGTTTTCTAATATTTCTGAGTGGTATATCAAATTAAGTTTGTCACTATATCTTTTAAAACGAACGAGAACGGGGCGGGGAGATAAAGGGTCAAGTTTCTTCCCTATGCGGGAAGTTCTAAGGATGGCGACATCTGGTGCCAAAATTGGACCAAGAATGTTAGTTACTTTTTCTCTGACATTTTCGTTGGGACATTCTTCTATTCCTTTCAGGATCAAGTCTCTACATTGTGAATTTGTTCCTAAGACTTCACTACAGTACAACAAAATTGGTTTTACTAAAGTGTTAAACAGGTCGAGGGCAAGTGGGATGGAGGAGTTGGAGTTTGATGATAAGAGTGATTTTAATTTGAATGAAGCCCTTAAAGCTTTCAATCTTAGTTGTTTTATAGCTCTATTAAATGAACCTGACGGGGTTACATCTATTCCTAGATATGTATAGTGGTTAGTAATTTCTATGTTTTGGCCCTGTGTTTTATATGGTTGGTGTTGGTTTTGTTAATCCGCCCGTGTTTTGAAATNTCATAACTTTGGTTTTGTCTTTGTTTATTG